CAGAATCAATAGAACCAGTAGAAATAGAACCAGTAGAAACAGAATCAGTAGAACCTGTAGAACCAATAGAACCTTTAGAACCAGAAGCAGTAGAATGAACTCACCTGTCATGAAACTCTCTCGTGGACGTTTGTGTAAATTCGATGTTACAAAACGACAGGAAGTGACTGTGACGAACCTTCAGATTAAAAGTAGTCACCGGAAACAAACAACGACACTTTATAGTCGGACCGGACGTGACGAGGTCGGCTCGTTAGCCTGTAGCAGCTCGTTAGCTTCCCCTCGGCTGAATGGATGGAGACATTATCTCCGGTTCAAACTGGGCTCGGGTTATTTTAGCTTAGTTTGTTCGTTAGATCAAGTTTAATCTCCTTAAAGTTCGCGGTTCTAAAGTTGTTGTTAGCTGGGAGCTAACAAGCCAACGTGTCTGTGCAGATGAGAGGAGAAGAAGAAGAAGAAGAAGCAGCGTTGGATCCTCGAGATGTTGGTGAGAAGATTTAAAAACAGATCTGGTTTAAACTGATCCGGATCCAACTGGTCCAGGTTTTTAAAACCCTGATGTGGTTTGAACGAGCTGCGATAAGAACAGTAAAAATGATTTCAGTGCTTTTAACTACAGATCTGAAGTCACACCTGTTCTCATCTAATCCAGATTCAACCAGTGGTTTTAATGTGGATCTGGTTTTGCATGTTGAATGAATGAACCATAAACTGCTTTAGACAATAATGATGATTTATTTCATCAGTACCTCCAGTCCACTGTGTTCCACCAACACCAGAGTTTAAAAGGATTCAAACTGTTTCACGTTCATTCAGATCAGATCGTTCATTCGTTCATTAATCACCTGCAACAATGAACCGATCACAAACTTGAACTCGTCACCAACTATTCTGATGAGTTGAGTGTTTGAAACGAGAAATTCTCTGATTTCAGCTTCTGACAGTTTTCTCTTCTCAAAGTCGACGTGTTTGTTTTTAAGTTAAAACCCAGATCAACCTTTTGTGATGTTTTATGGACCCACCAAGTAATCGGATGATTGACAGGTTGATGGATCTATGGTTGACAGAGGAAGCGATCAGTCGTCAGTTGCAGATCTGTCGTTTGAAATGAAACGATTTACTTCTTATTTCTCTCACATGTTCATTTTTGTCTGTCACGTGTTACAAACGTCATCACCCCCCCGACTCGCTCATCTTCTTCGGCCATGTTGCTTGTGACTGTCTGGAGAAACTTTGCAGGTTCTCAGTCGGACATTAGAGGTCGACACCAGCCCCTCTGCAGAATGGAGGCTCTCAGGGGTTCAGGTCTGAAAGCAGCAGTCAGCAGCTTGTTGTTTTTTTCAGAGCGAGCTCAGGCATTCTGGGCGGAGGAAGACGTGGATCAGTTGTTTACCGGCGTCTTGTCGTACCTGGACCACCTGAAGAGAGTCCTGAAGAAGAACACGGCCACTGACAAAGGTTGGAAGTTTAAAGTTTGACCTCTTCATGTTGCTGTGATGAACGGGCGCTCCGAGGCGTTTCCTGTCGTGACGCTGTGATGTGGTTTGTTGGTCAGAGCTGGTTCAGGCGTTGAAGCTGCTGGAGTCTCTGGACTTGTGTCCGTCGGTGTCGTCCGTCGTCCAGGTGGTCATCGGTTCAGGTAAACTCAGGCTTTTATTCTGAAACTCTGCTGGTATCAGAGGTTAAGATTGGTTCATGTTGACCTGAACAGGTGAGGTGCTGCCAGCTGACTTCCCCCGCCAAAGTCCCGCCCCCTCAACCTCCCCCGTACCTCCCACTAATGGCCTGTCCAGCCCTGCAGCGCCCCCCGCTGTCGGAGAGGTGCTGCTGCATCAACAGACCCCCGTCCAGCTGCAGTACCACCCCCACACCTGCTGCAAGGTAACACTACACACTATACACAATGTACACACAATGTACACACACTGTACACACAATGTACACACAATGTACACACACTGTACACACTATACACACTACACATTTCAACACCTCTTCTTGTCTCTTCCAGACGTGCGTGACCAGTTTACCCAGCATGCCTCAGTCCATGCCTCTGTTCTGGGCACAGAACCCTCTGAAGGTTCCGCTGCTCTGCGGCTTTAAGAGGCTGAGTGCCGTGCCGCTGATGTCATCTGGAGGGGGGGCGGAGCCTGTAGTATCCAAGGAGGCGGAGCAGTTGGGAGCAGACGACTGCGACGTGTTTTACAGAGCGCCTTGTGGACAGAGCCTTCGTAACCATGACGAAGTGAAAGATTTCCTGTTGGCTGCAGAGATCTACGACGTCCTGCAGGTCAGCTGATGTATCTCGCTGCGTTCTGACTCTGCCGGAAACTTCTGGGAAACTTTTAATAACTGTGGATGTTTCTCCTCCAGGTCGACTTCTTCACCTTCAACCCCTCTGTTCATTTGGACCCTCCCGTGGCGCCGGGGTCTCAGCGTCCGGAGCTGGACCTGAGTCGTGGCGTGGAGCCCACACCGGTGGAGCTATGCACCAGTGACGGCGGTGCCCGTCCCGCCGACTTCCGTTACCGGAGGGACCGCTGGCCGCACGGCTGCTTCCTGAGCCGCGGCCCCACGCTGTTCAACGCCTGCTGCGACTGTGTCGACGGCTGCACCGACGCACAGAGCTGCGCCTGCATCGCAATGAACAGAAGAGGGCGCTGTTACAGCCACCATAGGCTGAGCGAACCTGAGCCGTCAGGGTGAGACTGTGACGTTAAAGATTCACGAGCGTTGGGACGTCTACATACTGATCTCGTGTGTGTGTGTGTGTGTGTGTGTGTGTGTGTGTGTGTGTGTGTGTGTGTGTGTGTGTGTGT